CTTTACTCTGGGATGACGGATGCTCTTTCTCCTACCCTTTCCCTTGTCCGGAGGATGATCCTGCCATGTTCCATTGTTGTCCCTGAAGACCTTCCATAGCTCGTATCCACTCACCAAACTGCCCTTCCTTGAGAACTGGGTTAGTGATGTCCTCCATTCTAGATTTGCAAGTTTTCTCAATGTGTCTCACCCTTCCACAATAATAGCAAAGATTTACAAGTTGTTCATACTTAAATATCACTGTCACCCTTTGATCTCCGAGTCTAATGGTGGTACATCTAGGCAGCGCCTCCCTGATATCCAGTTTAACGAGCAATTTGATGAGGCGACCTCCCTGGCTTCCCAGATTGCATACCAGAACGTTTATGTTTATTTTTTTTGTGTTCATTTTTATGTGCTTATGTGTGTTATCGAGTCGGTTTTAGGTTCGTTTTAGTGTCGATCGGTCCATTTTATCGTATTTCGTGTGTTTTATGTCTTTCTTTTTATTTTATATTTTCGGCCTACTTTTCCGTGCTTTGTGGTGGAATTTCAGGATTATTTCGAGGATGAATGAGGAGAGTCAAGACAAGTTTTCCCAAGCTTTTCGAGGAGTTTCGAGTCATTCGCATGAACCGTCTTCCGTCGAGTATATCCAGTCCTTAGTCGAGACCGGACGTGCCTTGACTTGCCCACTCGCGACCCCGCGCCGAGACCCACGACCACGCGGACGCACAACAACAACCAATCGCGCGCATGGCCCAAAACTCGCGACACCGCGCCTGCGCCCGCGCGAAACCAAGCCATGAGCTCGCGCACACGTGGAAGAACACGCGAGCTCGAGAGTGCCGCTACACCGTTACTGAGGAAGCTCGCAAACTCGCGAAAATTGTTGCGTGGTCGAGAGTGCGAGATCTTGTAGCTCGCACAAGCGGATTCTCTCGCTAGCTCGAGATTGTGCGTTTCCCCGCGCCAGCGCCCGCGACTGCCTGCGCCTACTCCCGTGCGTTCTCGTGCACGCCCGTGCCACTTGTTGCCCGTGAGCTTGCGTGGCGACCTCGAGAGTGTTTGACTAAATGTGTGTGTTTTTAGTGTGTGTTTGTAGTGTAGCTATAAAAAGACATTGTGCTTTGTATTTTTGGACACGACCCTCATTTTCTGAACTTTTAAGTTGGGAAATCCTCTCTATTTTATTTTTTTCTTTTTATGTTCTGGTTTGGAGCTTATGAATCAAGTTTTCGGCAAATTTTTGGCGACATTGTTTCGAGTAAAGTTTCAAGCTTTTGACTCCGTTTCTCTTCCCAAGTGCATGTGAGAGTGGGTACTTAGTCTTAGGCCTCATTACTTCGTATATCTTTGTTTTCTTTTTGTGAAAATTGATATTTTGCTTGTGTTGCTTGGAGGAAAAGATTGAATCTTTTGATCGTGAATGCTTGACTAAGTGTGATTAGGAGATGAATGCTTTCTCGTCTTGTGCTAGAGTTTGGTTTAGCTTCCTAGGGTTTTAGCTAGCATAGCAATGTTCGGTTATTTGTGTGTTTGATCATAGAGACTCTGTCGAACCAAAATCTCTCTTACCCCCTTAATTTCTCTCATTTTTTTGCATGCTTTCTCTTGCCTTGTTAATTTCTTTCAATTGCCCTCAATTTCGTAGATTAGTTTCGCTTAAATTCAAACCTTCAAGCGAGTAGCATGTTTATGACCTTTTCGGTTGTGTGATTTGGCGATTAGATAGTGAATGAAGCTCCGAAAAGCCTTCGTTTGAGAACGACCCGAGTCGAGTAGCTCGGTTACCACATGCCCAAAATACTACAAGCAGTTTAAAACTGATTTGAAGATATTGCTGATTTTTAGCCCCACCTCAGATGTAGTCCAGCTAAGGGGAACATTGTGGACTTGAACCCGAAAGCCAAGGTCGTTGAAGCAATCATCAGAACTGTTCAATTTTTCTTTCCACTTGATTAATATCAGAAATTGGTTTTTGAAAATCTAGTTTGTACCTAGAGCGATACTTTGAAGGTCTTCTTGATGCTAAAAAATAAATTGAAAGAAATTTAAACTTAGCTCTCAAACCTCCATAGGGCTCTTCAATCTCCAAATGTGACTCATCGCTTTCTTAATCCCTTGCAGGTTCGCCATTATTTCCCCGACTATCTTACAGAATAGGCTTTTTTGGCAATACTCAACACTTTCTTGGACATCCTCCGATCCAAAATCAATAACCATGTCCTCTTTGTTGAAAGAGAAAAAGCCCTCAATCTCTTCGCTACTTCATCAGGTGAAAGCCCTATACTGGAATTCGCCATAAGAACCCTAATCGAACAATCGCTGCAAAGAACCTAAAATGATAAGTCCCCTCTGAAATATCGCCTGACAGAAACTAGAACAACGAAGCAGTCGCTCCAACTATAATGAAAAGAAGAACAAACTCCCATGCGACAGAAAGAACTCTCCGATGAGAGAAAATCTCTCCTAGAGAGAGAAAAGAACCCTTCACCCCCAATTTAAGACTCAACACTTAGAATTTGGATTAAAAAAAAAAATCCAAATGGATCAAATTTGGGGAGTTCAAGGCATGGCATTGGGCTGGTTTTTATTAGGCAATAAGGGCCGAAATAAGGGCACACAAAGGGCTGAAAATAAATACTACAAGTCCGGTTCAGACGCTCGAGAAAAATAACAAGAATTAACACTATGTGGTTAACCGAAGAATTTTTGAATAATAAGGCGAATGAAAATCTATTACTATGTAAAAGAGCTAAGGAAAAATACATAATAAGTAAGTCATTTTTCCGCTCATTTTTTCATTTTATACTATTTGTGGTAACTTTTTTTCAAAAATTTTGTATTCTCCCGCGTGTGATGTTTTTCGAAAATTTTGAAAAAAAAAAAAATTTAAAAATCTAAATAAAAAGATCACATTAAGATTTTTTTGGAGATTTCATACTATCTAACTTCCACACAATAGGAATCGGACACTTGTCCTATTTTCATTGGTCCACTATAAATTTTATATGATAAGATAAGTATAACTCAAATTATTGATATTATTTGATATTAAAAAATAAAATAAAAAATATCAAAATTTATATTTTTTCATACTCTATAAATAGAGACCACTCTTGATATATTTTGGAACACAATAGAAATTATTATGTTGGGTTAGGTTGTAGATAAAATAATACCAAAAAATATATTGTAGATAATATTTATTAAATAAATAAATAAAAATCAAATAAGTATCATACTATCTTTATTGGGTAACCAACTAAAAAACAATAAAAGAATAAAAAAATAGAAAAAATCCGCGACCCAGGTCAAATTGTGACCCTGGGTCGCAACCTAGCCACAAGGAGGGAGAGAGAAATGAAGTGAGTGGAATGGGGAGGGAGAGAGAAATGAGGTGAGTGGAATGGAGCAAGTGTCCTATTCTTATTGGTCTATAATTTTTTTTTATAATAAGATAATTTTAACTCAAATTATTGATATAAATTTATATAAAAAAATAAATAAAAATTTATTTTTACATTCTCTATAAATAGAGACCACTCTTGATATATTTTGGAACATAATTGCATTTTCTCTCTTTTCACTCTTTTTTTTAATCGTAACTTATCAATTTTATCATATCTTTTACTTTATCATATCACAACTAAAACAATAACAAAAATTTATTGTAGATAATATTTAATAATAAATAAATAAAAATAAAATAAATAGTATGTTGGGTTGAGTTAGGTTTGGTTTGGGATAAAAATATGTAGATTGTTAAAAGTTAAATTGTGTAGGTGGAAGAGAGAGAAATAACTTTTTATTATTGGGATGGGTCGGGTTGTGGATAAATATAGTCTTATGTTGAGTTGAGTTGATGATAAAGAAATGTAGATTGCTAAAAGTTAGGTTGTGTAGGTGGAGGAGAGAAATAATTTTTTATTAATAGGTTGAGTTGAATTGGGTTGTGGATAAATATAGTCTTAGTGCACAAAAGTTGGGTGAGGAGAAATCTTGTTTCTTTTTTTTTTTTTTTTCCATGTGTTTTGGACATGATTTGGACTTCTAGGGTTCTCATTAGTTATATTTTTGGAGATTGTTTTTTTCCCACTTTTGTGTTTATTGCATGCTAATTACAATATTTATCAAGCTTTTTAAATATCCGAATAATTTTTATTTAAACCAAATAACGTGTTTTCAATTTTGAAAATTTTCGTTCATCCCACCTAAAGCAAGTTTTTTGAAATTGCAATATGAAATTGCTTAAAAGAAATATTAGATGGTTTTGATTTGTTAAAGAAAAAAAAATAGCTCTACTTTAAAGTTTGGATTCGTTCCATTACTTTATGTACTTTAACAATTATAGATTAGTTAATTGATTTAAAAAAAAAATCAAAATAAAAAGGTTCAATAATATTCATTAAATAAAATATATTGCATAAAGAGAAGTGTTTAATAATATATAAATTTTCATTATTTTTATTTATTTAATTCTGCAATGAGATGAGATGTAAAAAATATAAACAATTATATTTTAAATAAAGTCTAAAAAAGTTTAAAATATGAGCTCTTCCGTGCATCGCACGGGATACACACTAGTAAATAAAAACAGAGCTAGCATATATATCGAATAATTAAATATGCAAGCATTTAAAATAAATAAGACAGCAAAATAAAACAAAATATCGATAAATAGAATAAATCCAAGAAATTTTATAAATGGAACAGAGGAGCCACTCCGTGGACAAATCCGTCAAGCGTTTTTTTTTTTT